AGAGGGAAGGAGGGAGGGAAGCAGGGAGGGAGGGAGGGAGGGAGGAAGGAAGGAAGGAAGGAAGGAAGGGAGGGAGGAAGGGACTATTAGGGAAGCCAATTGTTTAGTTTATTTAGTATTTTAAATGCAATCATATGGATAGACTTTTGGAAATACTTCCCTTATGACTGGGATTTCACCAACTCCTTCCTGTGCTTATTGAATTGCTGAAAATAATATCAAAAAGTATTATTTCCTCCTCTGATTCCTCTAGGAGATGACACAAATCATTGAGTCCAAATGACTTAAGCCAAAGTGGTTCTTCTTGGTTCTTATATCATTGTTTTGGAGTCAGCCCAGTTATCCACATTATACCATCTGTACTATATCCTAAACATCTCTCACTTTCCCATCTGACTTTTGCCTGTATTGTTAGATTCTCAACCCTTTTCCCTTGACTCATCTCCCAAAGTACAGATAGATGATTATCCTCATTCTAATGGAAGGGAGAGAGAGTGGGGATCATCCAAAGAAGTTGGTGTCCAAACACTTCTCTGTTTAGCTTTCAAAAGCATCATACAGATGTTCATATCACAACAATTCACCCACTGCTCAGAAAACTGACAATTCTTATAAGTGATGTCTAAATTTGGAAACCACAGCTGTTTTCAGCAATTGAGTTACTGTCTTTCAGGTGCCAAAAATATCACCTATCATATTCTCCAGGGTTCAAAGAAAGAGGAAAGAGGGAAAAAAGCAAAACAAAAAACAAGTTGAGGATAAAGGTAGCATGAAGCTTCTCCAGTTACATAAATTATTAAAAATAACTGCAGTAACTAAAACCACAATAGTAATAGCATTAAGAACTAGCTTTCAATAGCAATTAACAGAACAGGACTTCACATGACCTTCCTAACCATCCTGAGAGGGAAGGAAGATAGTGCTTTTAAAGAAACAGAATCAGAGAAATTAAGTTAATATCCCAAAGTCACACAACTAAGCCTAACCTCCAACCCAAGCCACCAGACTTCAAATCCTGTATCCTATCTCTTATTCAAACAGCTTCACCACTGGTTTACCTAACCAATTCCACTTTGTGTTTTAGTCAGAAATATGCCCTTTTCTATCACTGTGGGCCTGGGATATCAGCATGGGGGGAGGTGTTATTAGGACGTCTGTGAAATTCCCAAAGTACAGAAAAACACACACAAAGTTATCATTTATAGCTTTTGGGTGAGGGCTTCAGGTATATATATTAAAATCCTACTTGGCTCATCTCTGAACTGGTTTTGGGGCTTACAAGAAAGAAGTTGGCCACTCTGCCCCAGTCTTCACTTTGAACTCTAACTTCCCATAACCCTTCGTACCCAACGGGGGAATTCAGGAACTGAAAAGCAACATTTCAACTAGCAAAGCTTGGTGACTCTTCTCTGATCTTCTCCCAGCTCTCATCTCCCCAGGGCAGGGCAGGCCAGTATCTAGCACATCCTGGGCTCTGCTGAGAGACTCATCCTGAAGGCCCTGACATTGGAGCCAATGAAGAGTCTGTCCTATGCGTCAAGTCTCAGAGAATCTGCGATCCAGTCGCACCCCCAGCAGATACCCATTTAAGACAATACCTACAGGAGTTTTGTAAGATAGAGTTGGAAGAAGAAAACTAATGAGGGAAATGACTGAAGGCTACTAAATGAAACAGGGAGGATGGAACTTTGGCTGACAGTATTTTCAAAAAATAACTACAAAAATATTTCTGGTCCTAGCCTAGATGCTCTTCCAGAATCTTGCCACTCCCCTATCAAGAGGAGTTTATTTCCTTTGCCCTTGAATTTCCATCTGTCTTGGTGACTTCTCAGGGTATATTAGAAAAGGTGATGCCATTTCCACCTGGCTCTCTCTTGGGCATCTATTGGACTTTAGAACCTTGGGAGAAAGCCCAGGCTACATCAAGAGTTCATATGAAGGTATTCCTGTTATGAGTCCCACAAAGATGCTGGTCAGTAGCTGGCATCAACTAACTGACACACTCAGGAGTCAACAAGCCCTTCTGATACTTCTTTTTTTTTAAAAAAATATATTTTATTGAGTTTTTACAGAGAGAAAAGGAGAGAGATACAGAGTTAGAAACATCGATGAGAGAGAAACATCGACCAGCTGCCTCCTGCACACTCCCCACTGGGGATGTGCCCGCAACCAAGGTTCATGCCCTTGACCGGAATTGAACCTGGGACTCTTCAGGCCGCAGGCCGACGCTCTATCCACTGAGCCAAACCGGTTTTGGCCTGATGCTTCTTGTTGAGAGCCTTTGAGTCATCCCAGCCTTTGAGTCATCCAGTGGTAGCTTCAGGCATCATGCAGCAAAGACAAGCCATCTCTTCTGTATGTAGGTCATTTCTCTTAGAGCAGCGGTTCTCAACCTGTGGGTCGCGACCCCTTTGGGGGTCGAATGACCCTTTCAAAGGGGTCACCTAAGACCACCCTGTATATCAGATATTTACATTACGATTCATAACAGTAGCAAAATTACAGTTATGAAGTAGCAACGAAAATAATTTTATGGTTGGGGGTCACAACATGAGGAACTGTATTTAAAGGGCCAGAAGGTTGAGAACCACTGTCTTAGAGGCTCCACTATTTCTCTCTGACACTGTACTTTGCCCTCCCCATCCAAGTCCATCAGACATGTTTTCAAAGGTCTGAATCTCAAATGTGCAGTTTGAGCCTTTTTCCTTAAGTTTCTCTGGCCTTGCCTCCACAAATCAGGAGGTGAGCTTAGCTTATTAATTTCAGTCTTTGAACATTCCATGATGGTTAAGGAGTATGCAGTGGTGGAGAGTAATGGGTTGTGAGGAGAAAGGACCTAATCCCAACACCTTTGTCTTAGAGCTCTGACTTAGAGCTTTTTGTTCTACTTTAAAAATTATATGGGCACAGCTAAAACCTTCACAGTCAATATCATGATACCACTGAATCATTTTACTTCCACTGTGATTAGGTCAAAACCAAAAAGTAAAAAATACAGGGAGTTATCTATCTTGTACACTGCTGTAATACAAACACTTGGAATAGTGCCTGGAACACAGTAAGCACTCAATAAATATCGATTGAATGGAAGAACAAATAAATAAATAAATAAGATAAAATTTCCCCTCTCCACATAAGCACAATATGCTTAGAAAACTGTAGTATTCAATAGGTTGACATTGTACTATCAACTGGGTTATGTTCAAAGCTCCAGGGGTCAGACTCATGTGGGGCTTTCCATTTATATTTTGACTTGAGCAAAGACAAATGTTGTTGGTGGAAATTAGGCTCTTCCACAGGATTGCAAGGAAAGCATTCCAAGGATCTATGCACCAGAGATTGTGGTGTGGCAAAGTTTATTTGTGATGCAGGTTCTCTTCTTGGGTTTCCAATATCGCATCTCCCACCGTCCCACCATGGAAAAAATCCAACCATGTCTTCAGCAGGGCCAAAGCAAAAGCCAGAGGAACAAAGGTCAGAGGAGGTCATGACTATCGATATGAAAGGTGAGGGGGTCTAACCCAAAAACC